TAAGACTGGGATGCGGGCGGCTGTGGGGGCTATGGGGTGGAGGGCTGTCAGGGGTGGGGTCTGTGTGTGTGTACATGATATCTCTTATTAGACCAACTAAATAGTTTGAAACATTTTTTGGCAAGCTTTTGGGCTTAAAAGCCCTTGGTCAGGCTGGGGAAGCATCTGTAGCTGGTGTGCGCTCTTCCTGGATGGAATAAATAGTAAAGAGGCCAGAGGTTGGGCTGCAGCAAGAAGGGCAGTCAGTGAAGATATGAATTGAGGAGCCAGTGGGTGAGAGAGGGGGATGAATATAGCAGGGAAAAGTGGAGAGGTACCTGGGGGTCAGATGGCAGGCAGCTTATAGTGTGTCATATATCCAATGTCTATGTTTAGTCCTGGGATGTACTTAGTAGCTGTATCTTTAAGCGTTGTGCCAAGTTGCTCTTTGGTATGTAGAGTAGGTAAAATTCCTTCCCTGGAGGTGTCAGCTGGCAGGCGGGGAGGTAAAAAAATCTTCCTTTTTGTTCTGAAATGATGTTTAAAATCCAAAATCGGCTAAAATTCAGCTTCTTCCATGTTTCAGGGATGTACTTGGCAGTCGTGTTGGCCTGAGATGAGAAGAAATACCAAAATGTAGAACTCTTGGTTCCAAAATGATACCTTTTATTAAACCAACTAGGAAATCACAAAAAAGTTGGACCCAGAGGGACAGCTTTCCATCTTCAGCTCCATCTGTGCAAAAATTAAGTTTATTTCCCACCTATGGGGACTTTGTACCACCTATACATTTCTCAGAGCCTGATGAACGGCCTTTGAGCCCAAAAGCTTTCAGAAAAAGACAGTTATCTTGTAATTTCCCAGTTGGTCTAATAAAAGGTATTATTTTGGAACCAAGAGTTCTACTTTTGTATTTCTTCTATGTTTATGCCATGATTTTTTGTATCCAGGAGCTCGATGAAGTGAAGTTCATAGGCTCGTCTGTGAAAAATGTTTTGTGAATTCCCTTTGAGGATTAATAATGAGAGATTGGAGAGAGAGTGGTTTTCTTGTAAGAATGTGCCCCCACCAGTAATTGGGTATTTTGGTCTTTAATAGCTATCGGATGTGAGTTCATTCTGGTGAGCAGTTGTTGTTTGGTCTCTCCTACGTATTTTCCATCGGGGCATTTGGTGCCTTGGATGAGATATATAACATTTCTGGAGGTACAGGTGTAAGATACAGGAATGCAGATGACTCTGTTGTGGGGTGCAGTAATTGTGCAGGTGGTGGAGATATATTGGCAGGTTTTGCATTTCTTTTCATGGCATGGTCTGGATCCATTTGGTG